GCATGCAGGTTGTTATTTTCTTTGTCTCAGATAAGAACCTTGCAAAGGCTTCATGATAAAAGATGCTGAGGTGAACGAGGGAGTTTCCAAGATCTTGTTTTTAAAAATGTTGAAGTCAGAGGCTTCATATTGCTCTACTGTCATTGTCTGAGTCTGCCATTGATTTTTAATTTCTGTATGTTCTCCCCAGAGTCTGTGCATTGCCACACTCTCATCTTTAATCCAGAGCCATTATCCTGGTTAGAATGAATTGTGCAGTGCAGGTCAGCACTGCCTGTTTTAACAATGGAAACCTAGAGACGCGATCGGCTTACTCTTCTGGGCTGCGACTTTCACAGGAATCTCCAGGGAAACAGCTGTTTTTGGCCATTACTTCCTTTTGTGGTTTCAGTGTCCCTGGACTATTTATGTACATCTTGCCCCATTGGCTAACTTTACTCATTTGTATAATAATGGAAGAATGGGGGAGAAATCTGCAATGCGAGATTTGTCTTCCTTCATGTAGGATAAGTTCTGGGAACGTCCTTCCCCATAGAAGCTTTTGAAAAAGGCTCCTGTTATATTTCTCAGTAATGAATCTTCTCCAATCTGACCGATAAGAAATGTGTTTGGATAGTATTTTTTAGAATCTGAAGGTTTCTGGAGAGAAAGCCCATAAAACATAGAAGCATAAGGCCCTCTGGAACTGTCACGTTGACCGAGTCCACATCTGTCTTTCGGACGTCTATAGTGCTGACCACTAAGTGTCCTCAACAGCCTGTGGCTTCTGCAGCTTCTCTTCCAGTTAAGCAACTGTCAACTGCCATTCTGGACTTGCCTATCTATCCAGGTCCTTGAGTGGGTATTTATTTTTCAATTTCAGTTACTTAGTGGATTCCAAAAAGTATTGGCATTCAGACTATGCAGATTTCTTTTGACATAAAAATGAAGGTGAGGAACATTAGAATCTACATGTCAGAGCATAAACCAAAAGTCCAATCAAAGGTCTCCATTGATGTGCTACTGGAGGCAGAATTTTGATCTTATTATGTGTAACAGGCACCTCGTATGACACAAAGGAACAGACAGGAAAACAGAGAAAGGACATGGCACAATGCTTATGAAACATTATCAGCAATTTTAATTTTCTTCTGAGGAAGCTGAAATTGTGAAAGTGAAGCAGTGTGACTGGTCATGTCTCAGGTGATGTTCTGTTCTGGAAAGTATCTCCATTTCTGGGCTGGATCTAGTAGGTGCACTCAGGCCCCCAAACCTGAAACAGGGACTCTTATTCCTTAAACACAAGATATTCCAATAAGAAAGCTGTTCTCAGGTGAGCTGCAGAGCAGGGAGGAGGAGATGGAGGTGTCCTTGGCTTCCCAGAATTGCTGAAACTTGAAGACCAAGGCCACCTCTGAGGGGCAGAGATTCACCTATGAGTACATCACATCGGCTCTGCCTTCAGGAATCTTTGGCTGTGTGGGAGGAGAAGGAATGTGATTTATTTATTTCTGCTCACCCAGCGTGCTTCAGAGGAAACTAAGCTGAAAATTCAATAAATCCGTGTTTTTGCCATATTAGGGGAGAGAACATGTAGAAATTATGGCAATACAAGTGCTCACTCCAGAACCTGCAGAAGGAGCAAGTGGACAATTGAGAGAAGAAAGCGCCCTGCCCCAGGAAGCAGGTGCCCTAACATCATCCCCTGAGAACTGTGCTCTAGATGCCGTGCGTCAGTGGAAGCTGGGTTCGTGCCTGGGATTTGTAGGTAGTGTGGAGAGCAGAGCACAGCTCCATTCCTCTCCACTGTGTGAGCTGGGATGTGGCCTCTTCCTCTGAGCTTCATTCAAACAAGGTGTTGTTATAAAATTGCAGCTTTAAATTTACCTATAACCTTTCAAGTAGGAGCCAGTGGTTCAGAATTGTCATCACTATTGCTGTCCCCAGCCTTAGAAACCAGAACAATATCTACACGATCCCTCATCTCAGGTCTCAGGTGACCACGTTTCAGAGAACACACATGCTTTGTTTCTGTCACAAACATGGTATTGGATACTGGAAAGTACGTGTACCTTGCTATACATTTATGTTAATTACATTTCAATCAGTAAAATTAGAATTAGTAAGTGATAATTAAAAATTTAGCTTTGGGGATTTCTAAGCAAAGTGTGGATGGTGTGTTTTGATTTCTCCTTGCTTAATATAATATCATGTGAGAGGAGGAGGTAAATTAAAGAGGAAACTATTCAGCAACGTGGAATCAGGTGTTTTGTCAAGAAAGAAGGTTCTCACATCTTCTGGAAAACCCATAAACTTAAAAAAAGAAGGAATTTTAAGACATATTTCTATATTCTGGATACTTGACTAATAAAAACTTAGATTAAGTGGAAAAAGAGATACACAGAAGATGAACATTCCGCAGCAGATAATTTTGCCAAACAGACAGCTTTATACTAGTTATAATTTTACCTAAGTATTGAAAAGATAAACTCCAGAGAGATCCAAATAAGAAACTATAACATTTCAATGTTAGATGACTGGTCGAGAAGAGCTTGAACTGACATTATTTTAATGAATCATACCTCAATAATAACACTGTGTTTAATGGTGCACCTATTCATGAGGCTGCTTGAGTAAATAGTTTCTACCTCTCCTACTTGGGAGTCCTGGCACAACCCAACATTCTCTAAACCTGGGGGCCACTGAGAACAGAGACAGAAGTTTGAGTATTTTGAAATGATTATGAAGTTTTGAGAGATCCACAATCACGGAGTGAAGTGATTGGTGAGGGTGGTCTCTAAGAGCCTAGTCTTTGAAGAGTGTGGCTGTTTGTTATGATGAGCAAAGAGCTGCTTATTACGATGAACACACAGCAATAAAGACAGTCAAGGAAAATGAAGAAACGGGGAGAATGGTACAAACAGAGGGACAAGATAACGTTCCAGAAACTGGCAACAATGATTTAAAAAGCGTATGGATTACCTGGCAGAACATTTAAATAAATATGAGAAACATGTTTAATAAGCTAGTGGCAGCATGCAATAACAATGTGAGAATTTTAATAGAGATAAAAAATTTAAAAGAGGACTAGACAAAAATTTTGTGCCGATGAATACAATAAGTCAGACAAAATTTTTAGCAGAGCACACTATGGAGAGGCTCAGGCTTTTCTTTCCCCTAGAGCAGGTACCCCTGAAATTTCCCGAGACATGAATCACTGTTCGCTCCTGCCCACCTTCTAGATTCTCCTCAGAGATGCCCAGGACTCCAGAGTTCAGGTTCTCTCATGTTGTGTGACTTTGGGTTAAAATACACCTGAAACAGTGTGACTTTTGTCCTTTATCAATTCATCATCATCCGCATTTTAGTTGATGCGATTTTTTTTTACCTCATTTTGAAGAAATGAAAATAAATCCGCAGACTCTATCTAAGCCAGATTTCCTTTTCTTTCTTTTTGAGATGGAGTCTCGCTCTGTCGCCCAGGCTGGAGTGCAGTGTTGCGATCTCGGCTCACTGCAAGCTCCGCTTCCCGGATTCAAGCCATTCTCCTGCCTCAGCCTCCTGAGTAGCTGGGACTATAGGCACCCGCCACCTCGCCTGGCTAATTTTTGTATTTTTAGTAGAGACGGGGTTTCACCGTGTTAGCCAGGATGGTCTCGATCTCCTGACCTCATGATCTGCCCACCTTGGCCTCCGAAAGTGCTGGGATCACAGGCATGAGCCACCGCACCCGGCCTAGGCCAGATTTTCTTATCTCTCTTCTCTCTCTTTCCCTTGGTAGATGCGAATGTAGCCCCAACTATGATAGGAATCAGTAAACATTGCAGCATTTACAACACTTTCTTGGTCAGCTGGTCCAACAGTGTGAGGACCACAGTAGCACAATTATTTATGAGACTAATTCTGTATCCGATGCAGACACTTTTTTTTTTTTTTAATGTACCAGGGCCTCCAGTCCATCACAGCCTATGATTATGGAGAAGGAAACAAACATTCTTCAAATTTCCATCATACATGTGGTAAGAGAAACTGATGTTTCTGTACACTGGTTTCCAGACCCAGCTGTTGTAGCTTCTGGCCACGGGGCACTGTAGTGCTATCTGTTTTGGGGGAATTTAAGCATCCTGGAGAATGGTATTATCCCCAAAATGGGCCTTCTTTAGAGATTACATTTCCTACTATAAAGAAGAGGCAAAAAATACCTGCTGTTTATCTCACATCAGACTGTGGAGACTTAAGTCAATGCTTCCATTGTTCTACTGGGGTCTTTGTTTCTGGGCAAATGTGAAGGAGCAAGAACTGCTGGATCTCAGACTCATGTTCCTGTGATCACATCTCCTATCCCTTAACTATAGCTACATTCCCTCGTGTCAGAACACATTATGCAGTTTCTCATTCTAGGAATAAGATATCAGTAACTTGGACAGTGGCATTAGTAGTTTCTCTATGATTACAAAAATGTGGAGATAAAGTTAATTCTTCTAAGTATAAATTACTACCTATCAGGTTTGGGCTTTAATTTTTTCAAATTGTCTCCACATGACTGGTGGGTATCCTTACAATGTGAAATTATTTTGTTAGACAAATGTGCTATCTATTGCTGTCAGTTCAGGCACTTGGTAAGAGGTGCTGGTCAGTCTGGTTGGAGGTATCTGGGCTCAGTCTTCATTGCACATGTCAGGGAAAGCTCTGATATAAAGAGAGTGGATGCTGTCACTTATGTAGCAGTGTGGATTAAACTGCAGAAGATCATCATACTATGAGGTCTGCATACCCTTTTACACAGCAGAGTGGATTTCCCTTGCTTTCAGCTGCCTGCTTACTTATATTAAATATTACTGCATGTACTTTTACTTAACACTGTTTTCTATTCTAAGCTATTGCCTGCTTAGTTAATTAAAGTAAGCACCAGTAAATTTTAAAACTAACAATCAATTACCTGTACAAGTAACATAAAGTGGGCGTGGTGAATAAGCCAAGAAGAGATACCAGAAAACAAAACTCATAAAGACATACCTTGTGTGAGTTGAGAATTGTCAGTGAGCACAGAAGACGTGAGGAGCTTGTGTTCACTTTTACATGAAGAAAGTCAATTATATTTGACATCCAGAAGGCTGCTCACACCCGTGACAGAAATATGTAGAGTGATCCACGTAACTCAGAAATTAGAAAGTGATAAAGTCACAAACTTGCAAAACAAGCAAAAACATCATTCAGTGTATTTAGTATTCAGCTCTATTTCTTCAGGAAAAGGAACGAGTTATATCTCTATGGAAAATGGGACAAGTAGTTTTAAGCTGATTCTCCTGGGAAGTTGCTAATGAAATCACTCAGGGGATGCTCTGACACAGGATTGTGAGGAGGACGTTGACTCCTGGTGGTCGCTGTCAGCAACACGGGATGCTCAGCCCTGGTGGGTGCCTTTGTTACTTACTGTTTTGTCCACAAGAGATTTTAAGCTGTCAGGTGCTGCTTGCAGGTGAGTTTTTAAACCTCAGATGAAAAAAACAACATGACCACACAGAAGATGAGAAAATTGAAGACTTCACTTCATCAACCACATTCCACTGATGAGCACTGTTTACACAGAGAGCCAGGGATGAGCTGGGAAGAGGAAGGGGCTGGGGAAGATCACTCATAGAAGGACACATCCAGCCTGCTTGAACTCTTTGTGGAAGGAGGGTTCAAATGTTTGTCCTCAGCTAATCGGGGGCATTTCAAGACCTTCACAAGCTTTCAGAAAAAGAGTTTTCATGAACGAATGTCCATACGTTACTCAGAGTTGTATTTTTTCATATTTATTCTTCCCCTCTCAGCAGCACCGCAGCAGGGTGTTCTCAGAATTCTCCCTGATCCTTCGTGAGTTCCTGGTGCAACTCCTGGAGGAAAAGCCTGCATGGGGAGGGAGCCCTTCTCATGTGCAGCCCTGAGGTTGACCCGCCACCTCACCCACCACTGCCCTTCTGTCACTTGGTAAAGATTTCTGAGCTAATCTTCCTGAAAAGTGTGGTTTTGGGCAATATATTCACCAGGTAATAAAATCCTTAAGCTCTGTTTATTTTGGCAGGCACATATCCCTTTCTGGAGCCCAGGTTTGTTCTGAGTGTGTGGTAGTGGATAATTAGTGAAGGAGGATTGTGTGCATCTTGTCATCTCCCAGAGTGCACCCTCCATAGGACTGACACGCACAAGCAAGAAGATGGACTTGCTCAGCTGGAGGATGACAAACATTTTCATAACCTATGACCTTAGTGGTGCTCTTTACCCGCAAGACCAATCGTGATCATGCCTCTGGTTAATGTGCACTCATCAAGGGCAAGCAATGACCACCTCTGTGAGGGCTCCTTCAAGTGCCTACCCACTTTGTATAGGGAAGCTTTTCTCCCTACCTGGGCCTATGAAAGTGTTTGCATTTGCTGCACAAACCACCTTATTCAGACCCACCACACAAGAGCTTGCAGTGTACCTAATCCAACTCTAGGGCATTGTACATGGAGTCTCTCATTGCCAGGGTCTCGAATTCTCATTAAAGGATGCTATATTTTGTGGATTTTGGAAGTAAAGTGTTCAAATAGTGATAGCCTCACCCGCTTTCCCTCTTACTAATATCAGCTCTAGAAAGCACTGAAAAAACCAGTGGTGGTCTGGGATAGTTTAGGTTTGTTATATTAGAGTATCACCAGAAAAAGAAAGAACCAAGTGTCCTTGGAGATTGATCCATTGTGATAGATTTTTGCCTGTGGGGCAGGATGGTCGTTGTGGAGGAGGCTGTGCCTGTGTAGGGCAGGGATTCATGGGAATTCTCACACCTTCTGTTCAATTTCTTTGTAATCCTAAAACTGCTCTAAAATAAACTTTATGATAAGGAGTGACAGAAACATTCGAAAGAAATTTTTGCCAGGTTTTAAGAATCATTCTTAGTCTCACCACACGATCAAATAACCTTGCTCCAAATCATATATTCATCTAATTTGAAAACTTGCTCACAGTAGCACCTTCATGGAATGTTTGTATCAACTTTATTGAGTGTGGCCACTTCCACTCTGTGAATTTGCCTTCTACGATGACTCTTGAATGGAATATTTGTCTTAAAATTAGAGTATGTACTTGTTTCTATTGTTCTTTTTATTCTCAAATATATAACCCATTTTGTAAACAGCCTTAAACCTAATAACCCCTGTCATCTCCTCAGCCCAGCACACCTGCCTCCTCCCTCAGGATTTCTGACACTCTCATGATGTGGTTTCTTACCCTGTGCCTCCCCCACAGTAATACACGGCCGTGTCCTCGGATCTCAGGCTGCTCAGCTCCATGTAGGCTGTGCTCGTGGACGTGTCCGCGGTAATCGTGACTCTGCCCTGGAACTTCTGTGCGTAGTTTGTTATACCAGCCGACAGGATGATCCATCCCATCCACTCAAGCCCTTGTCCAGGGGCCTGTCGCACCCAGCTGATAGCATAGCTGCCGAAGGTGAATCCAGAAGCCTTGCAGGAGACCTTCACTGAGGCCCCAGGCTTCTTCACCTCAGCCCCGGACTGCACCAGCTGGACCTGGGACTGGGCACCTGTGGAGAGGACACAGGAGTGAATAAAATCCTCTTTAACTAAACCGGGATCCCTTCCTCAGCTTTGGACTAGGAAGCCCCTTACCTGTAGCTGCTGCCACCACAAAGAGGAGCCTCCAGGTCCAGTCCATGGTGATGAGCTGTGCTCCCAGGGACTTCTTTAGAGGAGGGATGTGGTTGTTATGTGATGCTCTCAGGGCACCAATATATCTATATTATCTCAGGAGACCTCAGGTTATTTGCATATTCATGAGGCAGGGTATTTCACAGCTCAAAGCCTGAACCAGGATGAGAAAGAAAACACAGATGCCACATCAGCTGTACAAGAGTGGGATTCTGAGAGACCAAGCCCTAAATCCTGTTTGAGGAAATGCATCCCCTGCCCCATTTCTAAGCTTTCTGTGGACAGCAGTCTTCCCACTAAAGAACATGCCCCAACCCAGGATGTGCTCCTCACTGTGACCCCACATTTTGTTGGCATAGAGATTACCTGGGTTGTTTCTGGGACCATCGCTGTCTCTGACATTGAGAAGGCACCTTGACTCCATTCTGGTCCCATTAGGAACAGTCAGAGCTCACTGGTAACATGGAAAATGTGGCCACCAGTTATCCCACATGAGCGTCCAGTAGGGCCCATGGAGACTTCTGAGATCTGCTGGGTGTTCCCACGACAGACTCCCCAGCACTTTCCTGAGGGTCGTGACCTCCCAGGCCCTTCAATTGGAAGACTCTTGGTGGACAGATTTGCCCTCTCATGTGTGATTGGTTCTGAGATTTCCCTCCCATTGACAGTAGGAATCAGGGGTTGAAATAGAAATAGGAATTTGAGTTTCTTGATGAACTCATAGCTCCTAAAATAATTACCAAATATTTTGTATTTTGAATAAGATTGTGTTTTATAACTGCATTAAATAGAATGATTTGACATGGTTTTAGTTCATGTCCAGAGATCATCATCTTTACATGTTGATTTCTGATCCACTTGGTCTGTGCACCTACCACGCTCTTCAATCCACCACTTCCAAGTCACAAACACAACGTAGGAAACGTTACTTACCTCTGAAGTCTGAATAACTTATTCATAGGAATATATTGTTTCCCCCAGTTATGTACCCGTTGAATTAAAAAACCATCCATATCCTTCATATTCTCACTATTCAGATATTTATTATCCTATAATCCCACTGATAAATATAGTTCTCATTGCTTTTGGAGTGATATAAGTGGTCCACATGAAATAGAATATTTAAATGATTATCAACAACTTGTTGAACACTTAATTTAGAATGACTTGAATAAGGAAGACTCAGGCCCTGGAAGAATATTTATTTTTATTTATCCCCAACAAATAAGTGAGAACATATAGTATCTGGTTTTCTGTTCTGGAATTAGTTTGCTAACAGTAATGACTGCCAGTTCCATCACGTTCCTACAAAGGACATAATTTCATTCTTTTCTTAGCTGCATAGTATTCCATGGTTGTATGTAGCACACTTTTCTCTATCCATTCTGCCAGTAATGGGGATTTAGGTACATTCCATGTCTATGCTATTGTGAATAGTGCTGCAATGAACCTACATGTTTATATTCCTTTAGATATCTGTCCATTTGTAGGATTGTTTGGTCAGATGAAAACTTCTGTTTTAGATTATTTGAGGGATCACCACACCACTTTCCACAATGGTTAAACTAATGTATATTACCACCAGAAGTGTATAAATTTCCTCTTCTTTCTGCAATCTTAAAAGTCTCTTTTTGTTTTGTTTTTTTTTTAAGATTAACCATTCTAACTGATGTGAGATGGTACCTCATTGTGGTTTTGATATGTATTTCTCTAATGATAGTGATATTCAGCATTTTTCCTATGCTTGTTGACCACATGTAGGTCTTTTCTGAAGTGTCTTTTCATGCCCCTGGGTCACTTTTTATTTCTTGAATGTTCATTGACGTTCCATGTATATATTAATATTGGACCTTTGTCAGATGTATAGGTCATAAATATTCTATTTCCCATTCTATAGGTTGCCTGTTTACTCTGTTGATGGGATTTTTGCTATACAGAAGCTCTTTAAATTACTTAGGTCCCATTTGCCAATTTTCGATTTTGTTGCAACAGCTTCTAGCATTTTCATTATAAAGCCTTTGTCAGTTCTTATGTCCTAAATTGTATTTCCTGTGTTATTATTCAGAGTCCTTATAGTTTTAGGTTTTACGCTTAGATCTTTAATCCACATATAATATTTTTTCAGCTGATGTTGAAAATGCATTTGATGAAACTCAACATCCTTTCATGAAAAAAAAAAACATAAAAAATGGGTATAGAAAGGATACATCTCGACAAAATAAAAGTTGTATTCGAGAAACTGTCAGGTAGTATCAGATTGAATGAGAAACAACTAAAAGTCTTTTCTCTAAGATCTGGAACATGACAAATTTCCCACTTTAACCACTGGTAAACCATAAATCCTTCTGCTGTCACCATAGCCGGCTCTTACCTGCAGGCGCCACCTACTGGCCGGATGTTCAAACTGCATGACCTAATGCAAAGTCGCTACCACCAGTGTACAGCAGTTTAAAATGAGATTAGCTTCTCAATACTTCTGTGATTCCAGACCCGCAAAAGACCACGGGTCTGCTCACATGCCCGGTGTATTACTACTACAAGGGGAATTTGCAAAAGCCACCACACTAAAGCTCTTAATAACAAAATAAATCACACTGGGTAGATGCCCCTCACCTGGCCATTTCCATCAAGGCTGGTGCTTTTCCTTGCCAGGCTCAGTGGCTCATGTATGTCCAGTTTGGTGCCCCTCTCAGGGGCTGAGCAGGGAACTCAGGTCACTGTGCATTTGATAGACCAGTTCATCGTCTGAGGCAACAGAGAGCTTCTCCCTGTGCACAGATATTAAGCATGTACTCATCTGCTTTCTCCCGCAGTCGGCTCAAATCTGTAAGGCCACCTACTAACATGAAGGGTGAACTTAACAACCCAACACAAATCTGCAGAAACAAATGCATTCCAAATAAGAAACAGTTCCTGAGGCCTCCACTATCTAGGACCTGCAGGAGGCAGTGAGTCTACTCACAGGTCCGGTACACCGGTACTAAAACCACCATTTCAGAAAGCCGCTAAATAATGCCTATCTATAGACAAGGAACTCTTACAGAGTCATTGCCACTGAGTGAACCAAGAACCAAAATGAAAGACCCACACACTGTACATTATATTCACATTCTAAAGGGAATGAAATACTCATCAAAATCAGAACGAATTCAAAAATAATAAGAGACAGGTTAGCTAATGAAAAGGAAACAGATAAGCAATTCTGGAATTATGAAAAAACAGTTACAAACCCCCAAATGCCATGTTAACTCTCCAGCAAAAGAATCTAAACAACATGACATTTTAGAAATGTCTGATAAATAATTCAAAATGTTGATTTTAAAGAAGCTCAATTAAGCCTTTTTCTAGGTGGCTCAATAAGCACTGGCACTGAGACAAGCACTGTAAGGACAATTGCAGCCCATCCCCTGATGAACTGACCCCCTGGTTCCACCAGCCATAACCCCAGCTTTGGTTGAACACTAGACTCATATCAGGAACTTTCTCCTGATCAGAGACCCCTGACCATGGCCTGGCTCTGGCCGTTTACAGAGGCTGCACACTGAGTCCCTTTGTGGCTCTGCTTCTGCTTTTTGCACATAGGTCCTGACTGTAATGAATTTAAATGCTAAGTCTCCACTGGTAAGTAAATAGGGTCATAAGTTACATGCATGTGTGTCCAGTATGCATGTGTCAGGACCACCTCCATGAACATCCATAGCCCCTCCTATAACCTGTCAATTGTGTCTGTTTAGCCAAACCCTTCAGCATAAAGCTTCTGCCCAACGCCTTCTTCGTGGGAGTGCCTTTCTCTCATCTTTACCAAAAGCTATGCTTTCCAGCATACGGGATGGCTGTAACCCTTGATAAAAAATAAACTCTCACTTTCCTAAATTGTAGATTGTGTTTTGTTTTGTATTTAACATAACTGGAGATTAAATTCAGAAGTGCATCTAATTATAAGGCTACTTTAGTGAAGAATGACAAACCGAGCATTTTCACATATACTGTAAGGGCCTGTGATATTTTGAAGGAGGAAGCTGATGTGAGACCTTCAGAATAAACTGATGATTGTGGATAATGAAAAGGCCCCATACAGGACATTGATTCAGCACCTCTGCCTGTCTCATTCCTTCTTCTCTTCTTTTTATTATGTGCTTACATAATAAATTTTCTTTTCTTTAGACCTGTTTGCTTTTCACACATAGTGGACTCTTATTTCTCTTTTTCACTCATTTTCTTAAGCTGCTAGGGAGAATAAAATGTCAGGTCCTATTTTTTGTGCCTCAGTGCTAATGAATTAAGGTTTATTCTTCCTCCTCCTTATTCTCTGCATGTGGTAAATCTAGTTAAGAAATCACGGAAGCTCCCTTATCTGATGTCAGTGTGAGGTTTAAATCATGCAAGCTCCTTCTCCTGAGTAGGAACACACCCCCTGACCCCGCCACCAAATCATTAGACAGCCCTGAGCCAGCCTCCTTTCCTGCTCTAATGAGGAAATTCCAGTTTGTAATTTCTTGAGAAGCCTGTGCTGCTCTCAGCAGACACCCCAAAAATAGAGTTAATAAAACTTTTTATATTCACCTGGGGTGTGAGTGTGGAACCATCAGACTTGACATCCACACTAAACATTGGTGGGGTCTCTCTTCCTTTGCCAGGGATCACCTACAATTGGAACTGTGGGCTTGGAGTCCTGACAGTGACCACCACGCGGCCTTTCTTCTCTTGCACTGGATGCTAATTCCCTCTGCCCCAGTGCCCAGCATGCACTTTATCCTGTCTGCTCCTCGCTGGCCCTTGGAGTTCTGTTGAGCTGGGCTGCAATGCTGAGTTAAACACAGCATCTTTATAGATTTAACTGATTAACTTTAGAAGCACTGACAGCTTATTGATGTTGAGAAACGGGAGTAAATGACTGCAGGTGACTCTGCCTTTGGTGCATGTGAGAAAGGTTTTCTCTTGTTATGACAAATGCTTCTTCTTCAGCGACTTCATAGGAAGAGCAGGATAAAGAATCTAGAAAGGTGCCCCAGAGGAATCTGTTTTATGGAGAGGAAGCCTCAGTGCTGACAGGAAACCAGACCTTAACCCCCATCTGCACCTGCCCT